TGATTTTGATGGGTTGCCAAAACTTCACAGGAGAACATTTTATTTTGCTGTGTGTGGATGTGCATGCACAAGGACAGGGCATGACAGCAAATAAGTCTCCCAAAAGTACAGGGTCAGATTTGTGCAGGGTAGTTTAACTGTAGCCAGCAGAGTTGTGCTTGGAAGGATTTGCTTTGTCTGATACTGCTTTTGACTAGAGGAGTGAGTCCAGGTGTGTGGTCATAAATGCTCCCATTCATGGTTAATTTAGTGGTGATGATCTGGTTACGGGTAGTTCTACTTATTACTTAGGAAGCAGGTACAACACAGGAGTGACAAATTCACAAGGGCATCACTATGATGAACAGGTTGGGCATATTCCCATCATGTCACTGGGGCTTGGAGGAGGCCAATTGAAGGTGAACAATGGGGAAATTCCAGCTACTCCTGGTTGTTCCTCCTGGGCGCCTATGGTGACAGCCATGTTCATGGCCATGGGCACTTTCTTATGCCTGGAACAGTGCCTGCTATACTGGTGGAATTGTAAGGTCTGGACACTCCTGAACCTGGCTTTCTTTTCTAGTTTTTGCATCAATGGGGCACACACAAAATGAAACCCAAAATTACACCTAGACCGAGTTTTCTTGGTCTTATTTCAGGATGCCTCCTAAGCCATTGGCAGCCTGCAGAACACCTTTTGTGTGAAAGTGAGATGACTTACGCTTGAAAAGGCAAATTAGAATTCAATGTGAAATCCAGGTTATTTCTGGTTTCCACTGATTCCACTTAGAGATCTGAGTGATTCCCAGGCACCACCAAGCTGCAACAGCAACCTAAATTCAGACACAGCTGAACACAAGCACAGACCCTTTGGGAAAATGGTCTAGATGCACCCGCCCTCCACAGCTAAAAAACTACCCGTTGAAAAGAGACACCTGATGATGAGTAAAAAACTTCAGAGCTGCCAACTGAGCCTCGAGGGGGGCACCCATGAAAGAATAAAGAAACCATCCTGCAAATGCAGCCAAAAGGGTGTTACGGGAAGAGCACAGATTACACTTTGGGATGTATTTATGGTATTATTTTTGATTTGTAACTTTTTCCTATGCGGTAGTAGCCCAGTGTGTAGAAAGGTGGTGCAATCTAACTCACATTGCAGTCTAATCTGGATATCTATTTAAGGATAGAAATCGGCTGAACAGAGCTGTGAAAAACTGCGTGGGCTTCACTTTCCAAAGGCAGGGTTAGTATGACCTGACTAAAACTGCAGTAGTTCAGCACCAGCTGGGTTGATGGATCTCACTCTGAACTGTTATAAGGAGGAGGTAGGGACTGATCTGATGAAAATTCAGGCAACCCTCTTTTCTGTGATCGAACTCTGAACCGGGCCTGTGCAATCCGCAACACCTCTGGAGAGTAGTAAAAAATCAGAGCTGCCTTCAGTAGCCATGCAGAAATGCAACCTGTTCCCAGCAACCCACATGCCACCTTGTTCATTGACTCCACAGACAGATCGTGCAGAGGTCTCCTTTCCAAAAAGACAAATACCCAAACAACACAACAACTCTCGGACTTTGGTAGAACTGCCTGCCTTATTTTCATAAACATTCCTATTGTCCTCCAGGGAGACTGCAGTTGTGCCAGTGAAGAATCCATTTTCCACACAGACAGGCACTGATGAAGGCTCTTTCTATATGAACTCAAAAGAGTCACTGCTCCAGACGTGTCCTGCTGTCCCCTCCTTACAGCTACACTCCTGCTGTGCCCTTGATGGTACAACAACAGGGCCAAGGCGGGTTTCAGGGTTCATTCACGCTCACTCATTTCTAAGAGCCATCATGTCAAACATTTGTAGTAGAAATAAAAAAGTGAGCTGTGGCTGGGATTTTCCCATCTGTGGTTTGATAAGGAGAGAAGAAAGCAGATGCTTTCCAGCCACAGCAGATTTGTTCTTTTGTTCTTTTGTTTACTATCAGCTTCCAATTCCTTTCTCCTCTCAAGTGATGCTGCCCCTTCCTTGCTGGAGTCCTTCACTGAGCCACAGCATAAGAGGAGAGAGGAGAAAAGAGGAGAAAATGCCTAGCTTGACTGTCACTCACACAAAGGGTAAAATAGCCATTTAGTCTGTGTCGGCGGCAAGCACTATACAAGCCCTCTCTCCAAAAACTGGCTGGGTAAAGTGCTTTGGAGTGGACCACAAAAGCAGCTATGGCCTGGGACGCCATGGCTCTGGGGCCTTCCCGTTCCTGCCTTCCCTCCAGTGAATCATTTCAGCAGAACTGAGGGAAACAACCTGATGTACAGGAGGGGAAGAACTCAAATTGTTCTCCATATGGGCAGGCAGGCCTATACACATACCTTCCATATACAGTGGCCATTACATCTCCACAACTTTTAGTAGATGGGAAGTAATTTGATAGAGATACAGCAGCGTATGTGCCAACGGACAGCCTGGTGATGTGCTATCAATATGCCACCTATTACTGTATCTTTTCCTCCAGGGAAATTGGAAGTATTATGCCCTGTGTACAGCTGTGCCCTATTTGTAATCTAAGCTTCTGGCCTGGCTAATCACTGCCCATTAAACTCCCATTTTCTTCATGAGTCATACATTTTCCAGATCAAACCCCACGTCTTCATCATGCAACATGCTGAGCTCAGAAATACATCTGTGTACAGTGCTGGAAGTGAAGGCAAGGCAGAACTGAGCTGCACAGGTCTCTGAGATACTCTCTGAGGTATGTTTAGATACACATTTAACAGACCTACTGAACAATATGCCACTTGTCCCAGGAATCCTGCTGGGACTGCCAGCAGGGGTGCTGCAGCTGCTAGGGAGCCTCAGAAGAAATTCTCAGGAGAATGCGATGCAGAATGACAGTATTTCTGCAAGAATGTGCATCTGACCATGGAATTTACTAAGGGAATTATAGATGCCACGGGACTGCTAATCAACAAAAAATCAGTTACAGCAGTGAGTAGAAGATCAGTGGTAAATGTACAGGGCTGCAGAGCAATTGATTGAGATTGCGCAAGTTTGAGTCCTAAACAAGCCTATAGACTTCAGGAGCATGGACACAGTGGTCCTCAGGAAGACTTCAAAGGTCTTCTACAGCATCTCTGTCCCTGCAAAAGCAGGGCAGTTCTCCTTTTGCCCTTCTGGACACATCTCTGTCAAACCAAAAGTGAATTTTGCACCTTGTATTTCTGCCAGAGTCAAGCTGAGACCACCCATCAGTTTTGTGTGACAACCCAGGATCAATACTACATGGGCCAGGTCTGATGTGGTTAAGCAGAGTGGCTTTCAGGTTGAATTCAGCAGCGGATGTAGCCGTAATGTGCATCTGCAAAGAGCTGTGCTATGACACAGCCTCATCCCCTGCACCTGTGGAACAGAGCATCCACTGTGGGAAGCAGCAGAGAGACCACAGTTTTACAAGCGTGCTTTCCACCTAAGTCCATCACTGAAATATTCCAACCCTTTGACGCTCAGCCCTTAGCTCCTCTTTTTCACTAGATCAAAAGACTGGTACCCAGAATACCAGCTTGTAATTCGCCTTTGTCATTGAATCAGTAGAACTAGTATCAGGCATTTAACATCAAACTGGATGAATTTTCATAATGGTCTGGTAGAGTGAGTACTGTTGTCCTTATGTTCCTGATGTGCCCAGGTTAGGGGGAAGTCAGCAACAGACCCTGAGGAGGTACAGGGAGACCAGAGGTAGATTTTTCCTGATTTCTTGGTCTCTTCAGTTGAATTAAACTTTGTTACTTGGACATATAATTCTTACTAAGACATATTTTAAGCAAGACTTTTATTGCATCTTGTTATACATTACTAAGTAATTATGTAATACTTCTGTAGAAGTTCAATACTTAGATTCTCAAGAACTAGTTGGCACTGGCAAAGTGTGTGTCTACGTCTGCTCGCAGACAGTAAACTGTTGCCATTAGCTTTAAAAAAAATACACAAAATCATTTATCTGAACCTTGGCTATTCCACTCCCCCATGTTTTTAACTATTCCTACTGTAGCTTCATCTGGTGATGCATCTTTAAACTGCAAAGTCTAAGATCTCTGAGCAGCCAAAGGACAGGCTGTACCCACTGCCCTTTAATGGTAAGGAGAAGCTGCCCACACTGCAGCCCCCTTTGCACATCCCACCTCATGATGATGATGCTGGATGGAACCTTTACCTGGCGAGTGTCTCATCTTTTCCATCCATAACAGCTAGAAGGGTGCTTTTTTCAATTATTTTTATTCTCTAAGGAAAAAAAACCCCAACTTCCCTAAAAGGAAAGAGGAAGACAGAAATTTCATAGCTCCTCAGTCCTGCCCCATGATGCTTCTTCCTGTCTGTGAATTTCCACCTGCCCCTTCTGCATATATAAGGCAGCACACGTGGGGTAGAACTGTTTAGTCGCCTGCCTCCGTGCAAAGGATTAGTAGCAGTGGGGAGTGATGCTGTTTCTCCTTGCCTCTGCAGCTCACGGGAGGTGAAGGAGCTCTGGCTGGACTCACTCCTTGGGTAAGTACTGCCCGGGATAAAATCTGTGGCGTTGCGGTCGAAGTCGGTGGGGTGCTCCAGGCGCGGCTGTACAGAGATGTGCAAAACTACAGAGAGGGGAGAGGTGCTCCCAGTGCCAAGTGCAGCTCGTGGGCAGCACTGACTGAGTAGCCGAGCTTTGCGTTTGCAGGTAACAACCACATGTAGCTGTCACCACTTGCTCATTTTTTGCATGGATTAGAAATGGAAAGCTGCTTCTTTTCTGTTTTAATCAAGAGGCAGATAGGGCAGCAGGGCTGAGTGCACTCCACAGAAGGGCTTTATGATTGACTTCTGTAGGATACCTTGCTTGTTCAGGACCATACTTAAATGCTAGACTGGCTTGCAGGGGAGAAAGACAAGAAGGGTGCAGTTTTACAAAGCTCTTTCTCTGTCCATTCCCTGTTCAACAAACAGGCAAACAAAAGGACCAAAGGAAAGCAGAGTGTCCAGAGCTCCCCCGATCAAACTCCTAATGAAAGTGTTAAGCAGCTGTAATACTGTGAGTGTCTTTATTGTTTCAGCTCTGCCAACAGAGTTATTTTGAAAAGCTCTGATTTCTAAACCGTAGCATTCAGTTACTCACGTGGTGTCTTTGTTTTCTTGCCTAGTCAAAGACACTAAATGCTGGGAACATGGAGAGTTTGATTGAGCGTCCATCAGAGGTAAGCAGCTGCTGCATTTCCCCCTCCCTGATCCTTCTTGGGTACACATGTGGAATATCTTAGCAAAGTGGGGGTGGCCCCTGTAGGAGCTGCCGGCTGCCTACCATTATCCGAGAGTGGGCAGAGCCTTTCAAAGGCAAACCGTGCAACACTGCAGAAGGAGCTGGGCATGGCTGTGAGCAGCCAGCTCATTCCCTGGGGTCCCAAGGAGCTTTGCTCAGGAATCTGGCAGGCTCCAAAGCCACCAGGGCTCCCTGGAGGAGTTTGGAAGGAAATCTCCAGTGTCAAGGGAGTACACAGAAGAGCAGGCTGTGCCCGGCTGTGCCTCCTCCGGAGCTAAAGAGCAGCCTGAAAGAGCTCAAGACTGTGACCTGCTGGGCAGGTCTAGGGTGGCTGGCTGCAGGGTTTACCATAAACCAGCAGTGCGGCAGCATCACTCCTGGACTGAGGCACCTCTTCAGCCTCGGAGTGCTCATGCCCTTCGCCTCAGGGTGTTGGGAGCGCTCTAGTTACTCCCTGGAGCCTCCCACAGGTTTCTGAGGAACTGCAGCAGCTCGCTGGTGGCCTCTGCTGCTGGTAGCAACTGCGTAACCCCAACATGCTTCTTGCAGGCTGATACCAAGAAATGTCCCCCGCTGGTCCTAGCAGATACTGAAGACGGACGTTGTCACTTAACTGGTGAGTTTTAAAGACAAACTGAGAAGCTGCCTTCTTGTATAACACCTACAAGCTGGCACTTCTTCAAACCAACCCAAAACTGCCCACTTCACCTCCCTGATAGCGATCCACCAGCACCACCCAGGAGATGGCTTAAGCCCTGGAGTGCCAACTCACTTGCAAATGGCTTCTTTCCCTTATGTTCAGTGGCAGAGGTCTTGTACCCCCGTTCTCTAGTCCTCAGAGCCCTGTTTCATTATGTTCTCTGGCAGTAACGGGAAGAAAATATGCTCCTTTCTCCCTTGAACATCGACACTGAGGTGTGGCACTTAAGGAAGTACCAAGTACTGCTATCAGCGGTTCCACACCAGAGCAAATAAACCCTCTTAGCAGCAGCAACAGCACTTGTTTTATTCTTGCCATGCAACACCTCAGCACCCATAAACAACCCAGAGGAGACCATTAGCATGGCAAGGTCAGATTTGGAGTAGACCATCATATCAGACCACTTTTTAGGAGTATCAAAAGCAAACTTTTTATATGATACTATAATGTTAGATGACTTTCTCATAGCTTTTAACCCCTCCCTACTTGTGGCTTGTGCTAAGCCACAAATATTGGTCCTGAGAATGTCTTATCTGCATAAAAGACAACTTCATTTTGGAATAGAAAGGCAAGTCCTTTATTGGAAATTTGCAGAAGGCTTTCCTCTAGAAAGCTTTCTAGCAAAAGGATTGTTCTCTCACTGTTTCTCAAAGGGAAAAAAGGCACACTCCATCCCAGTACAACCATCATCTCTAAATTTCTGTTCCCGCCTCTTTCAGATGCTGATGTGAAACTGATGCTAAGAAATTTCTGAACCTGAAGCCTGTGGGATGCTCCTGTGGTCCTCTGGAGCAAGAATTACCTTCCACTGGCTGGCTGGCAGGGGACAAGCACTAGCTCTAGCAGGACCCATTATCATTAGAGCTGGCTCCAAAGCTGGCAGAGCTGGAACTATGTGTTTTCATTTCAGCCTGTGAAAGAGGCTGAAAAGCAGGAGCCCCTAGTTCCAGTCTTGCCCTAAGGCTGGGGCACAGTCAGACTGTGGAGTGAAAATTGTTGTCCTTGCGAGCTGGTCAGATGACATATCTACCTTAGATAGTTATCACAGAAACCACTGCAATATCAGAAATCTCTGTAAACGCTGTATTTCTGTGCCTTGTATGTTCCCACTCTCTAAGAAGAAACAGTGAGTAGAATGTAAAAGAAAACACCCCAAACAGGAAAGGTGGTGTCCTTAGAAGGATGGTCACAGTTCTACAGTTTAGGCAGTTGTTTCCTTAGTAACCACTTAGTTGTCTTTCAGTTTCTCCCGGTTTAGTTTGAGTTGTTTTACGACTCTGCACTGCACACAGACGAAAGACCACATAGCACTCACTCTCTGTTTTGTTTTGGGTTTTTTTTAACTGGTTTTTTGCTTTCCTTTTGCTTGCAGCAGATGGAACAAAGAAAAGAAAGAAGGTGATACCACAGTCATTTACTCTGAGACGAAACTCTACCAGTGGGAATTCCCCAGGGCAGCTCGACTCAGGTGCCAAAATTGCTCTGTTTGGCCAGCCTCTGGCAGATATCTGTGGGGAAAATGACACACTGCCCCAGCCCATCCAGGTAAGCAAAGCTGGTGATAGAGTTATCATACCCTGGCTAACAGTGTGAGGCAGGTCCCTGGTACTTGTGCTGCAGCACAGAGGAGATGAGTGATTTTGGTGTTTCCCCTCCACACACACTTCTGATAAGCTCAGGGCCCATCCCAGATGTAGAAAGGGTCAGGTCTGCAGGTTTTGTCCAGCTCACCCAACTTTCACAGGAAGTAACTTTGAGTGGAGACAACCTAGGAACAGGAATATGAGTTCTCTTCCTTAGTATAAACATCTGTGATCCTACAGAAGTTATTTCAGCAGCACAAACTTCCAAGGATTTCTGTATTTTCCTTAAAAAAGTGTTCAGCTGTGAACTGCCACTGACAAATACCTAAACATATCTTCTGGATAAAAACACTCCTGTGTTTTTACTCCCACTGAGTTGGCTTTTCCAATAGACTGGCTAATGTCTCTTCTAAGCAATATTTTCTTGGCTTGGGAGGGAAAGGATTTGAACTAAGACTTAAGACATCCCTTAATTTGCTCCTGGAAAGAAGCAGGGATGCCTCTAATGAAATTAGTGGAACTCATCAGTCAAAACACAGGGTGGGTTGGGGAAAAGTCAGGTTATTTCCATACTTGGAAAAAAAACTAGATGATGACCTAATCAGAGCAAAGTGTACTTCTGTTTCTAAAGAAATGTTCAAATACTAAAGGACCTTTTTTCAATAAGTGCTCTGCCATTCCTGTCTGTTTTTTCCCTGCAGGATCTCCTTGCTGTATTGTATATGAAAGGACCTTCCACTGAAGGGATATTTAGAAAAGCTGCCAATGAGAAAGCACGAAAGGAGTTGAAGGAGGACCTAAACAAAGGCATGAATGTTGATTTGAAAAGCAAATCTGTGCACCTGCTGGCAGTGATCTTGAAGGTGAGCTCCTCTGACCTGCAGCAGTGGGAAGACATTGCTAATCTGCACAAGCCCACTTCAGTGCCAGAGCTGACCTAGGTGGGATTCAAAGCTAAAGCCAGAGCACAGACAGACTAAATGTTTCAGGATTGGGCATTTTCCTTTTCCACACGATTTTCAGCCCCATTTGTTGTGCTGTGGATTCCCTGCATGCCCATGGGAAACTCACTTTGTCCTCCTCAGCACCCTCCCAGGGAGGAATACTGAGATTAGGCATGAGTGAACAAAAAGAAGCTTAGGCCTGGGTCCTGTTGTTACCTCAGTGCCAGTGCACTTGGCATATATTTTGTATTGCACTGCTCTGCCAGTGCTGATGGTCGGGTAGCTGAAGCCAGCCTGCCTCCTAGCGAGCTCATATCGCAGTGATGCTCCGTCTGTGCTCAGGGGTAGTGTCCACAGCCTCACCTAAATCTCTTGTCCCTGCAGGACTTCCTCCGAAATATTCCCTCCAAACTCCTGTCAGCAGACCTCTATGAGAAGTGGATACAAGCTCTGGAGAAGCCAAGCAAGCAGGAAAAAACTGAAGAATTGAAAGAGTAAGTTCTGCAACCAGAAAGTTTTGTAACCAGCCCCAATGTGGAGTGGGTGATAGGGGCCAACAATACCTCTTGAAATTGAGAGTCTCATTTTAAACTATGTTATTTATATCAGCCTGCTATTGCTCCATGGGGTTTGGTTTAGAGGGTTATAGCAATAGCACTTCCTGGAGTTACTTGAGATTGCCCTATGAAATGACCAGCATAGTAAGAGGAGAGAGGCTGCAGTGTGCCACTAATGCAGACAGTGCTGTGGGACAGGCACAGACAGGGAGTCTGCACATCTGCTGGTGCTGAGGTCAGGTGC